AAAAACTGAGAAAATAGATATTCGACATTTAACACGGTGTAAGGGCCAACAATGGTGAACGTGGGAACAATAAATTTAATATGATGGCATGGACCAGCCTCGCAAACGTGATCATTGTGTATAACATGTCTTTATTCATTTTGAATGTATCATTCTATTTTTAGCCCAAATGTGTCCTCCAGAAGTATTATGTATCTATCATATTGTTAATTGTTTCGATGAGTAAGTGTAGACAATGATATTACTTCCACGCAAGGTCCTACAGAGTAGGCAGTTACATCATGACATATCTATAATTTTAGGGTTAAGTATATTATTATAATAGTACTGATAACGATGTAGACCTTAATTCAACAACTGCATTGGGTGAAGTCTTTAAAACATTTTTCGTAAATGACATCGTGTTCAAGTTGCACACCAGGTTTATATTTGATGTGATGCAACATTAAAAAGCACTTAGCATGAGCTGTGACCTTGAAAAAACGCGCACATGAAGTTTGTTTCAAGCGTCAGATGTTCCTTAGCTATGCTCTGAGGCTGTGATTCCAAAAAAGAAAGACAAAGATGCAGCGAGGTATTTGGGTATAAACACTAAATAATGCTTAATATTTTGTAGTGGAACAGACACGGATGATGAATTATCAAATCCTGTCACTAGAATGGAATGAGGTTATCGCTTCTATATAATAGAATGCGGTAAAAAAAACAGTGACTTCTGATATGTAACGAGATGGAGTATGTTCAAGTGATTAAATACAAGTCAGAATAATGAAGGCTGTTTACTAGAATGGAAAGTGCATCACGAAAGTACATTGTCAAAAAAAACTAATAACCATAAATTTTATTGTCTGGTTTTTTAAAGAGGGTCAGGTTTTTTATCTTCAGCTTGTACCTCTAGAGGATCTTACATTCATTTACAAAACACTATCACAAACTTTTCCCGACACAGAAATGGTTGTGACGCCACTGTGACTAACACACTCACTCAGATCGCTTTCCTAGGGTATTTTGTTGACGCATCGCTTTTCCTGGATTGTTTGCATATGTTCTTCCACTAAAAAATTCTTGAATAGAACGCGAAGCATGATTGAAGCCACTGTTATGACTTACTTCAGTGTTTTGGCTGGCATTTTGTCAGATCCTGCCAATTTCCCACACTTTGTCCGATGGCCATCCCGGTTTCTTCGATCGATGCTAGAGTGATATCTATAGGAATGTCTGTGTGTTGCTTCGATGCCTGATGGGTTCAGTGTGGTTGGTCTATTCTCTCTCTAGTTTGCAATGTTTCCCCGCCAGTTTCTTCGTTCTGTCTCATATGTTCTTCTCTTGCAGCTTTTCCCATTACCATTTCTAAGTATTCCACGTATTCCTGCCTGTCGGCTCTAATTCTCTTCTTCACTTGCTTGTTTCCTTCTGTGTATTCAACATGTGGTTTGATTTTCTTTTTTTCGTGTTCAACTGTTGTTGGTTGTTTCTTCCTTGTTCATTCCTTGTGCGAATCACTCACCATTTCCGTTCCTTTATCTCGGTTCATGTCGTCCTATGATATCCTCATACCTTGTATTGTCCATTCCAATCGTGGAGTTTGGGTCTCTTATCAGGATAGCCAGGTCTTTCCTTTGGCAAATGAGACTTACTTATCTCCGTATATTTTCATCAACAGGGCAATGCAGTACTAGAAGCCTGATGATACGTGGGTGATGAATAAAACAAAGGACAAAAAATAATGGTACTGGTGTCAAGCCCTGAGACACTCCACTGGGTACTAGTTTCACGCAGTAAGCTTCGGAAATAATCCGCGAATTTTACCAGCTACCCAATAGAAAGCATTTGCCTTCAATATTTGGAAGTTACCAATTTTTCCAGCTATTATTGAATCTTTTCTGCGACAGCCTATAAAAAGCTCTGATATAGTTGTTGAAGATAAAGTTTTCTGAATAGATTAATATGAACGCAATGTTTAGCTTCCCATCGCTTGGTTGTTAACTTATGATAAATTTTCTTATAACAGTTCTCTTCGCATTTTAACTAACGACGTATTTTAGGAAGGGTCATGAATGACTACATGGCTGTCTTTTTCAGAGATTTTAAAGTTACACTAATTTGACCTACCGGTTTTTGGTTCTGTTCTCTCTATGCCATTACTTGGGGATAAGAATAATAAAGTTTCCGTTTAATAGCCTACGTTTTCGCGTATCGATGACTAGATTATGGTGCTGTAGAAGATCCATACCAATGATTGGTATAGAAACATCTGAAACAACGTAAATCCAGTGAATGGGTTTGCGTATACCCACATTGAGGTAAACGTACCTTTTACAATATATGGCGATGGGTTTTGCGTTTACCGCCTGTAAGTTTAAATCCGATTAGTGAAGGCGGTCGTTGGAATTCGCTGGGAGAACGGTAACTTCTACGCCAGTGTCAACGAGGTAGCGAACTCTCGTTGTCACATCTGTGACGTATAGCAGACGGCTATATTCGCCGGCTACGGTTGCCGTTAACGCGTGCCGGCTTGGAAGTTTCCCGAGATGTTCTTCGAGTCAGTCGGTTTCGTATGGGGAAAATTGCATAAAACTCTGCAATTTCTGGAAGACATCCATACTGGTTATGATACCAGCACCAGTCGGAGTTATCCGTCTATCGTGGTCTAGAGACAGATCGCTTACATGAAGTGCTTCTACGTGGTGTGTGTGATCGCTTACGGTCGTTACGAAAATTAAGATAACGCGTAAGTGTATGCCATAACTCGGTTATGTCATTCTGAGTCGTTTGAGGCTTTTCTTTGACTGAAAAAACCTCGGTACTAGAAGATTTTGTAATTTTTAAAATACGATCGGGAGATGCAGCCAGCTCGTCTAAGGCGTTGTTTTGAAACGAGACCAGAACCGCTTGCACTCGTTGGGGAAGTTTAGACAAGAAATGTTGTTTGAATAGGCCTTCGTCGAAGGTTCTTAGGTCTATAAACTCTTTCATCCTTTGCAACATGTCCGTCGCAGTACTGTGTTGCAGGTCTATGTTATTAAAGAGTTGGTCTAATCTTTGTCGATCGGTTAGGTCTCCTCGTTTAAGAATAGAACGCTTCAAAGTTTCGTACAGTTCAGAAACATCACTAGTAAACATACTAAGTGTTACGTACCTGTTGAATTCCCGTGGTAGTGCCTTGACTACTGCGAGGAATTGTGCACGTGAGTCGTTCACGCCGTGCTCGTGGAAGTCGGCTTCTGAGTGGCAGAACCAGGCTTCGATATTGTCGGGCCAGAATGGCATGAGTTGGAACGAGTGTGGGGAAATAGTCTTAATCTTAATTACCTTGAGGGTCTGTTCGGTCATAGGGTAAAATTAAGTACGAGAATACACGAGTGAAAAATATATAGATGTCAAAAAACGCGGTCAAAAAATATCACGATGTATAAAAAATTAAAATAAAGCAATTATATACAGAATCCCAAAATGGAACAGATTAACAGTTTACGATTTGGTGTACCAGATCACATTAGGCTCACCAATGAAGATGGCATAGATATTGAGTGTTTGACAACGCTTTTACCAGTAACACCTTCTGCTAAAACTCGTACCCACCTAAAAAAATCAAAAGACAGAGTCGAGATCAGAAGTTGTATTTGACGATTGACAATATATCGCAATTGTCAGATCTAGTATGGCTAGCGACTGCAGTAGATGTTGATCATGGCGTTTTCACACGTGGCCTGTTTAAGATGCATGATCGAGCGCCTTCAGCTAGGCGAGTTCATTAAAACTAATCTGGTCAGCATCCAAAGTTGAAAACTTACAGAGCTATTTATTTTGGGGATTTATTTACCGCTTCAACGCACAACCACAAGACAAGACCCAACTTGGGGTCGTAAAAGTGGAGGGAAATGAAGCAGACCGAAGAGCATATGTCTGCGGGAATCGGGAAGAGACACTAGAACCATGAATACTATTTGGAGACAACTTGAAAGCAGAACCCAGAAGAGCCATTTCGACATCCCTGGTCGTAGGACTGTGCCTTATGGGGGTGGGGGTTACAAACTTAAACAGTAGTAGTTAAGTAGTCCGAAATCCTAAATATGAACTCTGCTAGTCTCAGGTGGAAAATCCAATCTTTTAAAATTAAAAGTGTTTTACTTGTGGAAGGTATTTCTGACTCAAGTGTAACCTGTTAAAGGTTACTCGAGATAAGCAATACATTAGGATTTATAGCTGCATATACTTTTAAGACCTATTTAGCTATCTATTGCGTTATTTTATTCAACTAATAGTACTCTGGGATTAATTTAAACAATAATTTTTTTTAAACTTATATACTGGGTATAGAGTGGACGGTAGAGACACCTTCTAATCCTTACGTGTAACGCAATTTCGGGGTTCGTTTCTGACTTAGGTAATTTAGGTGACTTCCGTAAAGTTCTTTAGGGATTAAGTAGATATGTTCTTTAGAGTTGATGGCAGTATTCCATTATTATCGACTAACTCTTCTGTTTTGACTGTTTAGTATATATAGGATTCCATCTGAAGGCATCGGTAACTCAGTGATGCTAGGTGCAGAAGCCCTTCAAAACGAAAGATAGTGCTTATCCATCTGCAAACATTTGGACTATTTAGTTACATCATACACGGGTCTGACTGCTTGATGAGGATAGTGACGATCATAATAATAATAATAATAATAATAATAAAAATAGTAATAATAGAAAATCTATGTCGTAAAAGCTTCTGCTGAATTAGACACTGACGTTCTGGCATAAAAAGGTGTACAACTTAAAATGACATCGGTTATCGTAAAAGTCAATAAGATTTTATATGAAAAATTATAAGTTGTAAGATCACACTATAGAGGGGTACTTCTTATTTTTACTACTGATCATAAAGTTCCTAAAAAATGCAGATCTCAATAACAGATATCGCTAGTGCAAAGTATTTCAGTATACATATAAATAAAAAGAAATCATCATAGCACTACTCAATGGGGTTTAAGTGCTTGTTGTTGGGTTACGGTTACATGTTGCATTTTCAATTGTGTCAACACACATCATGAGGAACTGCGTCCCAAACAGGCCTGTTCATTTGTCAAGATTTGAAGTGAATCTAAAAGAAAATGAGGTTATTGAGTGACATTAAATTCAACTTTATACAGAAAGAAATAAAAAAATTGAGGCAGGAAGTGAATGATATGCAATTGAAATCTAATAAGTTACTATTCGTAAACAGCCAATTTTCTACTGATGAAAATCTCAACATCATTAAAAACCTTGAGCAGCAATTAGATTCTTTGAATGAAGTGTGTTTTTCAGTTCGTTTAACCATTATAGGAACTAAAATATGAAACAGTTCTTCGTACAAGGATTGAAGAAGAGTTGAGTTGTGCATTAAGTGAACTGAGGTTTTATCGGACATCTACAGAAGCTGATATTGCCCACCAAGAAAAAAGCGAAATTACGTCTCACTGTGAAAGTTTTACGATCGAAATTTTGAATGAGCTGAGGGCACAAATATATTCAAAGTGAGGATTTTTACATGTACCCGAAATATGCATATTCACATATATGTATTTACACATATGTATTTATGCTTTGGAACATATTGTGCAGCTATTATTTTTTTACTTTAGGCATTTAGATGGTTTGTCCACATACCTAATTCAATAACTTCAAAATGATTTTTCAGAACATAGTTTTGTAATGTAGTGGCTGATAAAATGAGCTCCCAGTACACAATGTACAAAGTTGAAAGCCTTAAATGTCATGGTCTTAAAAAGTGTTTACTGCTATTTTAGCATTTAGGTACTACGAAGTGTTGCAGCGGACCCATGGCAACATAAATGTGAAAAGTTACAGGTCATTTATTTATTGCTTATTGACTAACCGTCAATAATTATGTGGTCCATATACATACAATTCCTAATGAAAAAAATTGCGATGTCTTCTGTGTGTGTCCCTTTGACTCCAGTATTACTGGATAGGGATGATATATATATCTTACTTGTCTTTGCATATATTTTGTCGACCTAACACGTTTAGAATAACGGCATATCAAAAGTCCAAACATGAATGGTGTCTCGGATAAATATATTTCATACATTTGTTTATTTAAATAAACCGTAAGAGATTTGATCAAGAGAAAGGTTTTCCAGCCTTCTCATTTTTAGTAAGCATGATTCAGCATTTAGAAAGATAGATAAATACAACCTAAAACAGGTGACGAGTGGAGCGAGTGATAATGGACACAAACACATAAAATTTTCACAACTACACATGGATAATTATACAAAGAGAAATACTTGTATATGATGGCTCAAAAGTTAAAAAAACATGTGAATCTTTATGATGTATTCGTGTTCATTTCCACACATTACTTCTATAACGACTGTTTATCTGATATTATTGACACGTATATTTATTTCACATTTTAACATTCAGATCAAGAGATCTATCTTTGACCGAGTTATTCATAGGCTGCAACTGTAGAGAGTCATTTTAGTTAGGTCATCAAAATAGTGGGTGATTGTTTATAAGCTCATATATGCTTATTCATTTGATTTGTAGTTGTTCGTTCAATTTTGAACTAGTTTTCATCACTGACTGACTAATTGAAGAGTATAGACATTGATATAATGAATCTAGTCGACCAAACCCGGTATGAAAAATATTGGGCTTTAAGTCCTGGCTTTTAATTACGAGAGTTGCCAATAACATTGATATACCTTCTTCTCCCAGAAACCGGAAGTTTGAATCATCCAGGCTTATTATTTTGAGGCTGCATTTCAATTTTCGGGTCTAACTTTCAACGTTATTTTTACTACTTATCATTTAGTAAAGTGAACATCATATATATTTTGATCGTTTTTGAAAAAAATTAATAATTTAAATTTGTCTATACAGTTTATCATCATTCACCGAACAAAACATAAAGCAATTGACTTTGAAGAAAGGACGTTACAATGAACTGATTGGTTTTGGGAAGTTACGAGAGACAGCTAATGAATTCAAAGTAATTAGTTTTATAGTTTAATTGTTTTGGAATAATAATTGTCAGGTTGATAAAAAGTGCCATTATTTTGTCAATTAAAAAAACTGTATGATGGAAACTTACGCAAGTGTTTAATTTATAAAGAGTAAGTAAAGTATGGGACAACGTAGAGCACTTAAAATCCAAATACCTCGCATACTGAGATGTAAACCCCTTATTCAAAAATTAAGTAGAACTAACGTGTTAGTTTTATGAAACGTTAATTATACCTACTTCTTGTAAATTCACTTCAATAGATCTTCACGTGTACTAGCGAAATTGATCCAACAGTAGTAATTCCCCCTACTATCAGTGACAGCCATTTTCATAAATTACGCCAATCTTGTTAATATATAACGGTTGGACTTTAGTTATGAAGTTGAATGACGTCCATAATAATATGAAATATTCCGTCAGTGAGGATCGGAGCTATAATCTGTAAAGTTAGTTAAATTGGTATTAAGACAATTCACTGGTGATAGTGGATCGGTATCACTTCAAATAAGAAATTGATTGAAGCTGAAAAATGTGGGTCATTGTATTTCGATTCACTGGCCGACTGACATTATGCATGCTGCTAGATATAAAGACCTCGCGTCTGATACCTGTATGTTTGTAACTTTACAGTGATAAGGAGTCCTAGTCCATAAAGAATCATTTATATAACCCTTCCCTACTTTTCAGTGTCTGTTTAACTTATATTATCTTCTGATGGAGATATCATCAAATCAAACTGAAGGATTATTGCATCAGGCTGAAAGCATTCATAACTTGCAATAAATTCTTACAGTTAGCGATTTATCCCAGACTTCTAATTTTAATTTAGTTGTGGTTATATAGTAAGGTATCATTCGTCTAAACACTTGCATAAAAAACCCAATTGTTTGTAACCTTTATTTGAAAATATAGAAACTCTGCATCTGACTCATCAAAGTCATCGAATACTTATCTTTCAGAATGATTGATACCAATGCAAATTATATTTATCACAAGTTTTAAGCACATTTAATACGTTAAATATCTTCCACTCTACGTTCATACATTCTTATGCCATTTCACGACTAAGGGTCAGAAAATATTTGCCTTCATGTTACTACATATGTAAAGCTTTACATTTGAAATCAAACATAACAAAGGGAATCTTGTGTACAGCTAATCGCGAACGTCCCTATGAATATCTAAACACCCAATGTTGATGCTGAATGGGATTCAGGCGGTATATCATTATATATTTAGTTTTCTATGCGATATCGACAATAATAGACAATGTTAGAGATGGAGCTATCACATTAAATAAGTGTACATATTCACTGTAAACGAAGCTACGATCCAAGTTACTACAAATAAATAAGCTATGTGAGAAAATTTTTCAACTCGCTCGTTTCCAGTTTCACGCTAAAAATTACATCTAGTACTACTAAATGCATCATCCACGATTGATAACGTATATGTGGTACTCAAAGCTTGATTTTTAAACTTACTATCTACTAAGTATTAATTTAGCTATAAAAAACCGATAAGTTACTCATCCACAACTAATTGATCAACCCACTTATGGTGACTGACATTTATCGGTTTTACTTGTTTATGTTGTTCAATTTGATTTATTATTCGATGGGTAGAATTTTTATCGGCTGCAACTAGGAAAAGTAAATCATATCACAAATTTGAAGCTTATTGCTCGACTAGTCACATATTAGATAGTGATTAGACCTTGAACCTAGAGCGTACACCTCATTCTACTTGAAACTTGTTATATCGATGTTTCTGAATTTCAGTTATGATGTTCACACTGAAACACGAATCCAGAACTCATCACCTTAAACTCCAGGATACTATTCAGATTGTTGATACTCACATTTATGAGAATCACGTTGCTGATTGTTTGATAATAAGTATACCGATTGACAGAAACTCCTATAGAAATGATTAGTGGTTTTTTAACACCATTACAAATAATAAAATAAAGACGGAAATGGAAATCATTTAGTTTTTAAAGAGCAAATAAGATCGTTGTCTTTCATTATTGATCAATGTCAAGGATGAAATATGTACTCTTTCTGCTTGGGATATTTGACTACTCTAGTAAAACATTGAAAAAGAATTTTAGACTAGGCGGTTGACCACACTTCTTTGGTAAAAATAAACTAACGAGATACTGCACAGTTTGTTTTAATCAGAAGGTAGATATCACTTATAAACGTATCTACTCGCACATATTCTATACTTGCAATATTTACAAATAAAACTGCACATGTAAAACATTATGCGTTGAACCGAACTGGTTTTACTATATTTCTAGAGAGAATTGATTGAGATTTGTAGACGTGAAGAAAGTGCTATTAAATCACTTGGTGAATTACAACACAAGTATTCTATACTTCAAAGACAACACAATGGATCCACTCAACTAACTGAGGATGCATTACATAAGGTGAGCGGTAATATCAATAAATGAACAACAGTTAATCATGGGTAAAGATTATTGGAGAGAATTATAAAATATACTATAGAAAGTCAGCTTGCATTGATTGATTCTCACTGCTTTATTACTTTCATTTAACCTACCACTTTTCAATTCAAAAACTGACAAATTCAAATTACATTTACCATCCATCTTCTTTATCTGTACCCATCAAATGACTGTCTGCTTTTAAATAGATAGTCCCATAATTAATCCATAAGTTATTTGTTATTATGTATGAAGTCGTTTAGTATTATTCTTTTTACAAGAGTAACGTTACAAACCAAATTGGGCTCACTAAAATAATTGTTTAGAGATGATGTTGACCATAAACTACGAATAGATCATATCACTTCAGTTTATAGCATTGAATGAATATTTTGTAGGGCCAAATAAATAAATTTTCACAAAACTTCTGCAGTGATTTCCCAAACTAAATTAGGCAGATATCATGTTTATTGGTTGATAAAAAGAGAATAATTCATTTGCTGTTGCGTTTTCTGTAGTAATTGGAGTTTATTTAATAGATCGAGTTCTTAACAGTTGAATTCACGAGTCAATATAAGCTAGACCACCATTTTAAAACATTGAACGGTCATTTCGTCTTACTATGGGACTCCTCAGCAGAGTGCATCCACAATCCCGCAAACGGGACTCGACCAAGTCTTGCTTGTTTTTTCTGTTATTGCATCTTAGTCTTCTATAATACATATTTCAATGATTTCGTTACTGTATGAATCTCAGGTATCTAATTGCAATCCTTCATAAGTATTTCGTGCAGAATAAATTGATTCGACTGTTACTATGTACGCGGGACTTTGTAAGTCATTGTAAGCTTAATAGGCATTTTTTGGTAAACATATGAGTAGTTCTTTTTTTATGAGAAGACAGCCGTCGGATATCCGTTTCTCTCATTTTCTCTATAAAAGATGAATAGCATAATGCGCTTCTTCTTTTCCAAATAAAATGAGTACACACTGGTTTCGCGAGTTGGCGCATTATCGATATCGTAATACAAAACTTGGCTTATGTGTATTATTTTTCGAGTTTATAATTTTGTGACAACTAGTATATCTAGAAAGGGTAGCTTTTAACTTGATTTAATTTCCAATATGATTGAGTATTTATCCAAATAATGTTGATCAAACTGTAGGCACTTTTTAATGCACTTCATTCAGTTAATAATAATTTACCCACACGTATTTAGCTATGTTGGTATTCAAAAATGAAAACAACTAACATGATGAAGTACCATTACTTCTATCTTTTATTTGTATAAAAATTAGAAACAACAACTAATAATTAAACTGGAAGTGATACTCGACTACCAAATGTTACGACATTTCGGTTGGTAAAGAACTATATCAGTGATTCAGATTTTTTCACGACCAAGATTTTCGATAGAAATGTAATCAATATTTTTTTGAAATTCCAACTTGATGAAGTTTTAAGTCAACTAATTACAGTTATGTGAACAAAGAGTATGATTAGCATTGTATATATAGATATATATATATATATATAATTTTGTATCACAGGTTGCAGAATTAATATCTTTAAGTCAAACATTAACTAACGAGCGTGATGATGCAACACAAAAAAGAGAAAATGCAGAAAATGAACTTTCAAAACTCAAACTTGTTGTCAATAAATTAACTGAAGAGTCTGGTCAACGTACAAGGGAAGAAATAGATAAAATAGAAAAGAAAGCCAATGAAAATATTGAGAATTTATTAAATGAACTGCACCATATGGAGAAGGTAAACTGCAAGTAACATTACATTCAACTAATTTAGTGCAGATTATATATATAGTTGCGAACTTACGTCAGTTAGAGAAGCATTGAAGACGAAGTAGCGCTGAAAACCCGTTGCTTTTCGGCACGATATTAAGTGGTGCAATAATACGTGTGCTCTATTATATATTACAGAGTCCGTAATACATTGTTCCAATGATAGGGAGTGAAGTAGTTGAGCGGGTCGATCGCTCCACTTATCTTGAAAGTCTCATTAGCCCTTGTGGTCTGGTGTGTGACGAAATCTCAGCACGGATACAGAAGGCTCGACTAGCTTTTGCCAACTTGCGTCATTTATGGCGTAGGCGAGATATCCGTTTACCAACCAAAGGGAGGGTTTACTGCGCAACAGTTCGTTCCGTCCTACTTAATGGCAGTGAAACATGACCGGTAAGAGTAGAGGATATTCGTAGGTTACTAGTATTCGATCATAGGTGTCTTCGAAGCATCGCTCGTATATCCTTGGACCATCGAGTAGGTAATGCACTTTTTAGGAAACAGGTACTAGGTAAGAATGGCAAATCACTTGGTGAAGTAATGAAACTTCATCAGTTGATATGGTTGGGACACGTGTTACATATGTCTATCCCAAGACTCCCTCGACGTGTGATGTTCTATGGTGTAGGAATAGGTTGAAAGAAAGCTAGGGCGGCCAGACTAAAACATGACACAAATCCATGAAATCCCTGACAAGTGGACTGAGCCATGTTGGTAGGTGTAGGCTATTTGGTTGGGATTCGCGAGATGAATAGCAACCGATGGTTAGAGACCCTGAATGACATGGCCCAAAATCGTTTGCAATGGCACAGGTGCATCCTATCTTTGTGTTCTCACAAATTCCAGTCTTCTGAAATCTTCAATTCCCTTTTTTCTATTTCCAAATTTATTTCACTGGATTATACTCCTTGAATAACATCTTCAAACCCTAATGTTTATGATTACTGCTTATACTTTTATTACCTCTACCACTATGGGATTTGAATCGACAATTGCATTTCTGTGCTAATGTGGTATGGTAACTCGAATCGATGTACGTACGTACAAAGTTCTACGTCATTAACTGACTGATTGATATAGATTTAAATAAAAACGACGAAACAATGCTTACAAATGCATTGGAAGAAACATTCTTCGAAGTCTAAATGATGCCTAGCTTGATTTTGGGGCGTTCTTTAACCGATAGTCAACTTTTTCTTACATTTTGTCTTCATAAATTTTCCTTCTCAAACGAAAAAAACTATACTGGTGGATAGGAAGTTATTTTAAATTTTAAAATATAGTTTCAAGTTGTTCTAAGATTGCACTCCTATTCGTTTACTCCACCACCCATAGGCTCGATATAATTTTCAGTAGATAGCTACTTCACCTGATATGAAGAAATAATGTGAGTTCGTTTGGCTTCCTAAAAACTGGGATTGGTTATTATATGAAAAGTGGTCTAAGCTTGAATTGCGCTATATACAGTAGAAGTATAAACTAACCAACTGCATTGTAATCGTTAAGTTGATTATTAGCATCGTTAATATCATTCAGTAAATTTTTCTAATATATAGGAACGCTGTCAATTGGCCATTCAATTAGAATTTTATAAAACAAACAATATTGGTCATCATATCAATGATGTAAATAATGAAGGTAAATCTGTTCTTAATGTAAATACTACTTCAGGTGATTCCAAACCGGATTGTCTGTTGGATACTTTTAGAAAACGTGCCATACACGCTGAGAGTTTATGCAATGAATTAAAGTTAAGATTGGAAACTGAATGTAACAACAAAGAAAAATTAGTTGCATCTAAACAAATCGAAATTGAACAATTAAATGAAAAGGTAAATATCATTCCTAACAAGTTAAACTTGATAAAGATAAAAACCTGAACAAATGTCAGAGTGTATTAACTATAAATCATTTCTTTTTAAAACAAGAGAAATGTTGACAGTGATTGATTTCAGCTATCGAGACAATTACGTGTATGATCTTTGTTACATCTATCATAAGATTTACATGAACCTATCTATTTATGTATGGACGTAAGTTCCTGTAAATTATTGAAATACATCTAAGTGTAAGGCTTGTGTAAATGGATAGCACTTAGTTTTGTTTGAGCCTCTTTGATACTGTTAACACCTGTTATAACCCAAAACAAACAAATTAAACCAAGTCAGATTGTTTGAGATTCAATCTTCTCATCGAATTGTTTATGAATATTGTGTTTCACTTCAAGAGTCGTTATTTTGGTGTTTTTTTCTCTGAGCTGGATGGTTTAGTCGTCTAGCTTCTCTACTATCTCAGGGTCGCTATTAAATGCTGCATAAATCCTTCTCGATGGAACGCCTAGCTGATCTTCAACTTTTATGAGTACTAATTTGTATGGCACTCATATGTTCATTGTTATATGTATTTCTGTGAAAATTATATATTTCGACAGTTAGTCATTCATTTTCAGGTAAAAAGAATTTAAATACCTAGTGAGTAATAGTCATCAATACATTTCTAAATTTTCCACAGAAATACTCATTTATTTTGTAGGTATCAATACCAAGGTTAGTTTTTTGGTTTGAACCGAATTCATTAAAATCATGAATCATATAGAGTTACTTTGTTGTTTTAGAACAAATTGCTTACAGAACGCTTTGAATATAATGAATTACAACGGAAAAAAAATGAAAACCATTATAATAAACAAAATGAAGTTTTATTCAATTATGAACTTCAATTGAATAGTCTTAAACAACAGTTAGAAGTTGTACAAAAAAGTGCACAAGTTCAAATCACCTCAATAAAACAGTCAATGAAAATGCAAGAAGTTGAGTATAAATTAAAGATCGAAACACTTGAGAAAGTAAATAAATTAACCGATGAAAATTGGCGTAATCTGTTAGATAAGCAACAAATAGTAAGTAAATAATAATTATTTTAATGTTTTAGCACAAATTAAACTTTTATCCGTTCGTATAACGGAAAATAAACTGAAACAGCTATAATGTAAATGTGAACCATCGCTTTTCGATTTAGTGATTAAGTAATATCGTGCTCACCGCACGACTGGGATGTACTGGATCCAATCTCGTATGATACCATGAAAGCGCACTACTAAAAAATCACAATTACGGACAACATAGCTCTCTGGTGCTTCCATGTTTTCAATGTTTCTCCATACAATGTCGCTTCATGACTATAACTTTCGAAATATTGAAATACCCAGAAGTAAAATTTACCCTGACTCATTTCCATAAGCAGAGATATATCAGCAACTCCGTAAAATAAGTTTAACAACATTACAGGATGTTATATTTATCACCAGAATGTGTTCTTTTTAAAGCTTGCTTCATTTGAAAGATTAAATATTTATGACATCTTACATTTCAAACAACGTTCACTGAATTATAAAGAGGATATCTTACCTATTGTAAAAATGTTAAACATTATTATTTACTGATATTCATGTCTTTTAGCCATTAAATAATAATTAAAACACTATTTTGATGTTCGACTAGAACGATAAGTATTTATTCATCTCATTATATTTAGGATTTTAAATTTCCATATATTTGGTAATGAAAAGCAGTAAGAGTATTTATTCACTAGAATGTATTATAGAATGTATCTAAAGTATGCCATACTAACGGAATTATCAAATAATTTGCTTAATATTAATACTTTCCGGACGAATCTTCAACTTCTTGAAGAATTTTCTACTATCAGAAAAACATAAAAGATAAGCGATTTTTTCAATCGTAGTCTTTTGTCCACAACGTGGGCGCTATGATAGTTATTTTGCACATGTATATTCAAAAGGTTAATTTAAAAAATACACGGCAAGACATGTTTCATAAAATGTCAGTATCAAGTGATCTCAAGTACTGGTAGTTTTAGCATTGACGACTTCTAGCCTTGTTGTTTTATTGTAAGGGGTATCGCTAAATATACTTCTTTTTTAAAGGAAAAGCCTTGCTATTACTACACACCCACACAGTCAGCAGTATGACCTCGCCTTCGGACTACAGAATATCTGCTTTTAGTCTTATCGCTCTTCAACCGACTTGTCTTACATGATAAGACCTAAAGGAATGAGTATTCTATCCAATACACCTTGCTCGATTCATTATGATATGCAAGACTGATCACTATATCAAAGTAGAACCTACGGTTGGGTTCAGTAGCATGACTTTCAGAATATTTACCACGCACACTAGTGACAAGACTGACAACTCTGAACAACAAACATAAGCAACTTCCTCACTCTGAATAACGTAACACTAAACAATTTGAACTTTATTGAATTTACATTTCAGGATAGACAAGTATCTATTATGTGTATATATATATTTGCAATGTCCTAGGAAATAAAGAAAAGATAACATTAAAACAAAACTACTTGAAGAAAATAGTCCTTGAATGTGATAGAAATAAAATTAGTTAATAATAATTTGATCTCAAGTCTGGTCAGAAACGTAAGATACTAACTACTACAACTATTCGCAGTAATTTCCGCTCAGTATAGTTAATTTTCGGCATATTGTTTATAGTTTAATAATATTTGAAAGCATAGTCAAATACATTTATTATAATCACTACTTAGTTAACGTCACAATGGAGAAAGGAAGCAGAAGAACTAGCCAACCAACTTGAAGAACAAACCAATGCATTTGAAACGGAAATAGAAAAATATCGGAGTAAATGACAAATACCTACCAATAACATGATAACGTAAGTAGAATGATCCATAAAACTTTTATATGGTTCCATTAAATCATGATTGTAAAAAATTAAGAACTGCCTGAATGTAATAACGTGTCTCTTACCAATAATCATGTTACCCACAGTTAAAACATGCATAACTTTCAGATTATCAAAGTTAATCAAGCATTCAAACGTAAGTCAGTTTAAAAAATTCAGTGAATTTATAGATTATAGGTAGAAACACCAAAAGATATCAGTACGCGTCACAGTCTTTGAAAATAAGGTTAGCTGTGGAGGATGGAATGAATTAATAAGCATTTAAAAAGAGCTTGCTCTTTTTAAAATAATAAAGGGAACTATGTGTATAATAAGCATTTGTTCACTAAGTTAGCATCCAGAATATGCAAAATGACTAATTTGTTCATTTCACCAATCAAAAATAATTAATATCCTTTAAAAAAAAAATAAAGTGATGTTTAGAGTTAGAGAAACGAAAGCCAAGGGTTGTTTGACTACTTTGATATCAAAATGCTGCGCACTACTTATTAATAAGCCATATTTCTTCACGATTTTTTTAGTCAGTAATACTGGAGTTTTTTAAAAAATCACATTGGATTAGTTTAGCTAATATAGTAGTCGATTCGATTAATTTTTGTGATTGTAAGGTAAATTTTAAATCACCTTTTTCACTTACTGTTGACATGAGACCAAATCTGTCAAGCAACACTAGTTCCATCCAGATTTCAGGTACACCTTGCTGACGAGCGCCAAATAGCAGGAAGTCTAGGTACAAAGCTTCCAATCGACTACCTCCAACCACCACCTTACGCTTCAAAATAGTGCACGCAATATCGAGTCGCCAAGACTAATGACCACATCGAAACTTAATCAGTAGAATTATATGCACATTAAAAAGGACTTGAATACATGACATGAGTCACTACCCAGTGGTCAGTCAATTGTAAATTTGCTGACATTTATTTTAAACAGGAAACCAATCTACCTGTTTATCACTATGGAACAAACCACATTGGGTATTTACCGCAAGGTAAGTTCGACTTAGGCTAGAAGTCCATATCATTCCTGTCCAATTTGAATAGACCCTGACCATCCAAATAAATCACCTACACTAGTGATCCGCATAACCTATCTCTTTAACCTCACATTCAGCCGCTTGTGTGTTTCCCCCATGTATACTAAATTACACTCATGAGGCCTAATTTTATGCTCAGTCTTGTAGTCATTCTCTTGACAACCTATACTTAAATGTCACCAGTGCTGACATGCCGATATCATGAGGATGAAAAAGAACTTTTACATCATGTTCATCAAGAATCTTAGATTTATTCTGATCCTTCTTTGCTGTACGGTAAGCACTACGATTTTGTTATTCTTTCGTTTTCAACACTTTTCAAAAACTTTAGGATTAATGTTTATCCTAAATGTAGACAAAATTAACTTTAACTCAATTTCTTTACTTTGAGCATCTGTAATAAGATTATTATACCGACTATGCAGATATTTAGCCGTACCAACCTTCTTGGGAAGAACAAGTGGAGACTCGTAGCATAAACATCTCCCGGAATATGTTGATTTACGGAAAGCTTTAGTGTCAAAAAAGACGAAGTGTCGACACCGCAGATTTTGTTTAATCGTGCTCACAGTATGTTTTCTAGAGCAAGCATCTCAAATATTGTGGCTTGTTTGTGGTTATATAGTGTCTGGAATTTGCAGTTTGTGATTGGATATTCGAGTCAGTGAGGGGTCTGAGACCGATACATGTTATATTTCCAGTTCTTCTAGTGTTTTGATAGTTCTTCATTTGGTGCACGTTTACCATGAAAACTATCAGTTTGTTTCCGATGACATATGATTGACATACATATTAAATCCTCCCACTGAACAAGAAATCTCGTCTTTATAATAACAGATAATTCCCATTTAAACATTAAAATTAAAACACGAAGTTCAGCGAATGGGTCTCTTTTCAACGAATTTATTATCAAACTGTACAATCATATATATATATATATATATATATATATATATATATATATATATATATATATATATATATATATATATATATATATATATATATTCTGTGAGGAAATGTGAAAACAATTAACCAAGATGACTTAATAAAAAGATTTTAATACTAGATTACGTAATACGAATGATAACAATAGATTTAGTGAATATAATAAGATGATTAAAATGTTTTTGTTATAATAATTAAAGGTCATAGATGTGTAGAAATAAATAAGGTGATATGATGAGCAATTTTCGAATAAAATAATGAGAATACAAGACATAAGTAAAGAGGAGAATGCAGCAATAATAATAGGATAATCAAAATAATTAAGGCCAAGGTAACGATAACTATAAGACGTACTTCTTTTGTACGCATAGTTCTGGTTTAAGCTCCTGGATGGTAAGAGCTTCGGCTATTTTTAAGGGTTGGATACGAAGAAATCTGGGTAGATTTGAACGAATCATATAAACAACCTTAAATTCATTTTTCCGATCTGTGGAATGGTTACAGTCGATTAGGTGTTCAAGTATAGAACTCCTAACTGCTTTCCTTTCCCCCTAATAGAACCAAGCTGGAATATGTTACCGTATCCGAGTTGAAAGCGAGCGCTGGCTACAGCCAATGTACCTTGCTCCACAAGAGCAGGTGAACTGGTAGATGCACATAGAGGCGACCAGATGTGGAGGCTTATCTTTTACGGACACAGAAAATAAGTTCCTACTAGTGAAGGTTATTCACAGTTTAGCCGCGTTAAATGTTCTTCTAATCGTTGTTGTTAGACGATTTTTGATCACGTCTGATGTTCGATCACCTTTAAATTCCAGACTTATATAAAGGTTTTTCTTCGGAACGGAACAACCGGATTTCTTGTAGTAACTACTTTTATTCATATTCTTTTCTATGAAATGTTCTGGCTAACCATTTTTCATCAAGGTTTTCTTGAGAAACGCGAATTCTTCGTTAATGCATTCCGTACTGCATATCCGATGTATTCGATAACATAAAGAATGGATGAGGTTTCTCTTTCTACTTAACGGAACCCAGCTATAGAAGTTGGTTAGCTGGCCATTCCATGTTTGTTTTCTAAAGACGGATCTTTTTAAAGAACCACTACTCCTTATCATCAGACGTACATCGAGAAAAGGAATTGATTGGTATCACTCACTTCCTAATGTGAAGTCTATGGAAGGGTGGCATGAGTTAAAGGTGTGTAAAATATCATCTAAATCAATATTATCGTCACAAACGACAAACGTGTCGTCCATGTATCTTACGTATAGGTGAAATTGATTGATCATTGATCTGAGTTGGTTGTTTTCTAGTTTCGCCATGAAACAGTCTGCTAAAATCGGATCCAATGGAGACCCCATTGCGATCCCATACCTTTGTCTATATATTTCTTTGTTGAAACTGAACTGGACATTAAAAGTACAGCGTAACAATAGTTCTTTCAAGTGTTCAGTCGGCAAACCTAGATCTATGTTGTTAGAATCAATACACTCACATACATAACATATCGTTTCGGTTAAAGGTACACTAGTGAACAAAGAGTTAACGTCAAGCGAGAACGTGCTTTTCGGAAGTATTAACGTCCTTAATACGATCAATAAATTCAAAAGTATCATGAATAGAATATTTACATACTTGCCTTCTAACTGGTTCCAATTTTTAAGCTAACCATTTGGCGATTCTGTGGTATGGTGAATCCGACATATCAAAAATAGGTCGTACCGGTAAACCAGGTCTATGTACTTTCAGTTTCAACAATAAAATATATAGACAAAGGGTTGGGATCACATTGGCCGTAGCCAGCGCTCGCTTTCAACTCGGATACGGGAACATATTCCAGCTTGGTTCTATTAGGGGGAAAGGAAAGCAGTTAGGAGTTCTATACTTGAACACCTAATCGACTGTAACCATTCCACAGATCGGAAAAATGAATTTAAGGTTGTTTATATGATTCGTTCAAATCTACCCAGATTTCTTCGTATCCAACCCTTAAAAATAGCCGAAGCTCTTACCATCCAGGAGCTTAAACCAGAACTATGCGTACAAAAGAAATACATCTTATCGTTATTGTTGTCCTTTGGTCTGTCTACCCACTTTTGGTGTTGATGACACTTATCTAATCCAGATTAAGACCTTGGCGTGATAGGCTGACCGACCTAACCTTGAGGCTAATACGCGTGAGTTTGAAATGGGGTAGAGAGAAGAAAACTATTCTACCACCTGATTGGCTGACAAGCACGCAAACGAGAGAAGACAAGACAACTGAAACATTACTCGATCTATTCCCGATATTTTGATTTCAGTTCAGTTCAGTGTAAAAGGGTACGCGAATAAATGAGTGAATAACCCGACCACAACGTACGATAATTAGGAAAAATAAAATTATGTCCAAAGCTGGGAATTAGAGTAGAAAATAGGGTGCAAAATATTATGTTTAAATTACAATAGCTTCGGAACAAAAAGGGCATGACAATGAATCATACATCGAACGAAAGCTTATGTTCTGTGGAATAGATTAGGGACAAAAATGAATGTCAGTGTTTTACAAGCTTTGAATAAAATGGAATAACGTCCCGAAAAATAGCTTTCATAGTTTGTCAGGGATTCTTGATTCCCTGTTCAAAACAGTTATCGTTAGCTTGGCCTTAATTATTTTGATTATCCTATTATTATTACTGCATTCTCCTCTTTACTTATGTCTTGTATTCTCATTATTTTATTCGAAAATTGCTCATCATATCACCTTATTTATTTCTACACATCTATGACCTTTAATTATTATAACAAAAACATTTTAATCATCTTATTATATTCACTAAATCTATTGTTATCATTCGTATTACGTAATCTAGTATTAAAATCTTTTTATTAAGTCATCTTGGTTAATTGTTTTCACATTTCCTCACAGAATATATATATATATATATATATATATATATATATATATATATATATATATATATATATATATATATGATTGTACAGTTTGATAATAAATTCGTTGAAAAGAGACCCATTCGCTGAACTTCCTGTTTTAATTTTATAATAACAGTTGACCAAGTAAACGAAAATCACCTTATATTTGTCCGGTTTTTGAGAACAGCCTGCAGAACAGAATAGCACAGTATTTCATAGTGAACGGTGTTCGGAACAAAATTTGTTGTTCCTAGTTTATCTAATGTGTCATTCAACTGTGTACAAGGTTGTACACTTTACTTCCTGTAGTCTTCTAACGGTTACAAATACGCAGTTGAAAACGTGATCTCAGATAAAATGAAGTTCATCGTTGTCTACATCTTAAATTTATGACTTCAGAAATAAATTGTTGTGTACAACTGCATCATCTTTATTTTTCCTTGTATCTTTCTTTAGTCGGCCTTATTTTATTATGCGATTTCCTACGTACCCGATGATAAGGATGAATGATATGCTACCCAAGAGTAATTTCCTCAAGTACACAAATAATAGAGACATTACTTACCAGATAGTTAAGTTGTAGCAATCCACTTATTGGACACTGAAGACTTGTGTTTGACCTTACTAATGATTGTTCATATTTTAGTGACAATGTTGACAATAAGAGAGAATAATTTGCCATCCCACTTTTGCTTTCATGACAACGGATTTTCTTTTAAATTACTAATTTATTTAATTACAGATTGTTGAACAAGTGAAATACCCATATCGCTTATCTAAGTATTATTTTGTCCTATATTAATTGACAATGGGATAGATGCAAAGTGGAAATTAGTTACATACGATCATTCTCAAATTGCGAAACAGTGAAAATGAACTACTACTCAAGATTAATAAAATGTATAAAAGAAGACCAGAAAAGAATTGTTCTCTTTTCTGGTCTTAGTGTACATACAATTCACTCTCAATATTCTTTTGAAATTTTTGTTGACGATTCCATCGAAATAATGAAAAAACCAGTGTTATCATTAAAGTTTTAATTTTTATGTGTACGATATAGCTGTAACAAAAATAACAGATAGAAGTTTGACGATGGTTATGATAGGCACTCTGGCGGCTTGCTATGTTCACCGACAATCCCTTACCAGGTAAAATTCTAAAAGGTTGGACAACAGGTCATCTAGTCGTTTTTATTGAAGCCTCGGTAAATAGGTATAGGTTACTTATCAACGAAGTTTCTTCAAACTATACCTAACAAACTAATGAACTCAACAAACAAACAAACAAAACAGAACTTAATCTATAAAGCAAACTGCAACAATTGTGAGTATATCATTAAGCAAAGTGATTACCATCTTGTTTTGCGCTACCATCAGTTGGCTAACAAAGACAATAAAATATACCTTTGCTCATCTCGATATACTTGAAATGTAGTCATGAGTTAGTGAAGATTGTTTTCCCGAGCGAATCTGAAGTTGAAAAAATACTAATGCTACTCTTATCTCTTTATGCTCAATCCAAACAAAATTAGTAAGACACACTATGAATAAAACTTAATTGTAGAAAGAAGGCGTAAAACACAAGATAATAGTGTTTCACTAACCATGTTTGCATAAACCAGTATCAGTAGTGAACGACCAACAATCAGCAACCGGGAAGATTAGTGCTTTATCTTGATCTCTTTACTGCTAATATTTTTCTAATTTACCCCTACATCAGTCAATATTATTCATTTTATTAGGTAACACCTAACAACATTCAAAGCGTATAAGTATAGATATAACTCCACATACATACACACTGACATGCCTTTCTTGCATATAACTTTAAGCACCAAATTTACATGGCATAAACACCATACATTATTTCCTCATTACTACGAATAAGAATATTACAGATAAACACACATGTGTGCTTAGTTAAAACATCAGTTTTCGGTATATAAACTTAAGGTTTGAGAGTCAACAACAATATGTCGTTAGTTTATGAGAAAATTGATGAGATTAAACATTATATGGTTGGATAACTACACATATTTAGTAGGTGATCATCATAATATGAGAATAAGTAATAGAGCAGAAATAAGCTACTCGCGAAATGTAAAATTCTGATCTGACTGTCTTTTTCACTATTTAGAACCTCATTTATGAGTGGGATATGGTAACTACTTTATAAAATAAGTCAGTATTTTACGGTTACAACTTTCAAGAACTACTACTACTAAAATGAACTAGTAACAATACAGAATTAGGATGTTCATATGATATGGAACGCTGATATATCCTTCCAAATATTTACAAACGCTGTACGTAAAACATGTGAGAAGCGGTCAAGTCTACCGAACGCAGCTTTTACTTCGCAAGTTAAAACGTTGTAAAACTATGTAAATGTATGCGGTCGACTGATGTCAGGTCATAATACCGTAGGGCTTTTGAAACTTTCCAGGGGTTGTCTTATAGCATTCTATCTGCAGCATTGTGTGGATGAACAGTGAAAAATATTCTACTGACCACTGACTAAAAGCTGATGGTTTGATTGTAACGTTAATGGATAGTGTCTCGTAAGGCATGATATAATATCCCAATCGGTGGAAATAAAAAACTTGTTTGTCATATACGGTGTGGAGGCGAAAACAGATAAAAGGGCACGGATAATTGACACATGTCCTCGTACGGAAAGTAACTAAGCTTAATACATGACATTGTCTACTTAATGGGTCACTATACATATATGCTACAAGAGCTAAAATACTATTTTTGAGATGTAATCAAGCCGTGAAATTGAGCGTTTAAGTTAGTCGTTTTCTAAAATATACGAAATTTATTACACAAACCCGGAATCCAAGGGTGAATAACGATAATGATACCCGCACTTGGTATCATCTACCAAACATCTTAGGACAGGAAACCACTCCAAGTTTTTTACAGAAATTTTTATGACAAGACGGGACAAGCACAGACTTTTCGTGTTGAACCGTGAATGGAAACCATACAATACTAATAAAACAAGTATTACGTTTGTAGTATAAACATATAATTCAACTTTAGCAAAATATAAATGATTTATTGTGACGGAGGCTAGTTTTGGGGTTGTTTCCCGACAGTTGCTTCTTTCCTGGATGCATTTTGTAATTCAATCGTATCGCATTCATCAGCTGGGAGTTGGACATATCTTACAATAGACCCTCTTATGAAACAGTTTTTAACAGATAGCTATAATTAAGTGATCATAAAGCTTATAACGTTACCATATGAGGGTGTTTTTCAGGATCAGTTACGCTAATATCAGTGAGTTTGAAATTGTGATATTGATCGACTGAGTGTAGCGTACCACATATACTGTAATATATGAAACAAATATGTCAACACTCACCATAGGTCATTCTTCAGTTCAATTAACACATCCTTCCCAACTAAAGTTTTAAAAAATGAAAAAAATAACTAAGGAACCGTAGTCATTAGAAGCTGCTTACCATTATATATAATATTTACCACTTGGTGGGTTTGTTTCTGGCCTAAAGATAATTTGTGTCCTGAAGGGTTGTATAAAAGGTGTAGGAGTTCTGGAAAAGAGAATAGTAAGAAAAATAATTAAACACACCATTTTGCTTACGTTCAGTAACAGAATCAACCAACAATAATTAGGAGCAACACAGGTCTGAAGCTAAAACACTCTTAACGATAAGACCTTCAATGCGGTACAACGCAAAACTTAAAAGTAGTCAACAAGCACGACCTTCAAATGGTTGTGAACTGAATAGAAGCTCTCGCTTAACTGGCTGCTGTGTCTAGTAGTAGTGGATCACCAATACCTCCAGGCAAGAACATAGGTATATTAACGATAATAAAAGAAAAATAAATTGGTAAATCAGGATTTGACAACTCTTAATGAGTAAACGTTGCGTCTACAATCCATTCTGCTGTTTTTTTGTCTCTACTTTCTGGGTGTTGCCCCTTAGGTTTGTGATGGAGCTAAATTTAAGTATGTGTTTAAGGGGGATGTCTAGAATTGTTAAGGATACTGTAAGCCATTAGAAGGTTACCACTGAGACGCCTATATTCTAATGGGTAAAGGTTTATTGATTGGAAGCTCTCTTCATAAGGCTTGAATTTGAGTCCCCGAAATGATTTCGTGGCTCGCCGTTGGATACACTCCAGAGTGTCCTCATCCTTTTGTAGTGAGGGAGAAGATACTATGTTTCCGCACTCTTAATGGGGACGATTGAAACAGTTGGGGATTATGTGGAAAGTTTTTCCGTCAAGCTGGCCGAAAATTTGCTTCAATGTTGCCAGTGCGATGTTTGCTCGAAAGGCATATTTGTCGTAATTGGCGTAAGACTTCAAATCGTAGGGTACCAGTACTTCTAGCAGGGAAGAAATGATTGGCTATTCGTACAATGAAATCAGCATTTGATTTTTGTTTGTGGGGTTCTTGGCTATTTATTGTTGTATATTTTTGGAAATCAGAAAGCCTCAAAACAAAAGTTACCACTAAGAGTTCTAATGATTGTATATGTTATGAGCGAAGCTTTTACTTAACCGGCCTCTTGGTCCTGTAGTAGTTTACAGTGATGAATAAGTCTCAAAAGTAAATAGTTCTGCAAGTCCTTGACATCTATGCTGACTTCATCTGTCTTGCTGAACACACCCTGGTTGAAGATGCTCGGACGCGCATTCACACCAAATCATGTTTAAGTACGCCGTGCTAATCACACAAGCATTATTAACACAAGTCAGCCTAGATCAAACGCTAACCAACATGTTGATAATGAGGATGATACAGGTATTCAGTGTTTGACAACGCTTCTACCAATAACACCTTCTAATATGCTTTGTTCCCACCAAGAGAAATCAAAAGACAGAGTCGAGGAGATCGGAAGAGTGTATTTGGCGATAACCAATATATCGGGAATCTCTGATCTAATCTGGCTAGTGATTGCGGTTGTTGTTGAGCACAGCGTGACAGCACGTGATCTGGTGCGGATGCATGACCGAGCGCCTTCAGCTAGATGAGTCCACTAAAACATATGGTCAGCATCCAATGTCGAAAACCTATTGAGCTATTTAGTTTGGGGATTTATTTACCGCTACAATAACTTTCCAAACATATCTTTGAACTCCTTTTTACCTGTTTTCTGGCTTGACGATGTTGATATCTTTCGATAAGAATAGTGTTACGGAAAATAGCATACTAAAACCCAGAATATCTGCTGGATAGGATGTAGTGATCCTGTCGTGATCTGGTACACCAACTGATAAGCTGTGAGTATATCCCATGGTGTAGCATTAGATCTGATTTTTTACAGATCGTAATATTACTTTCGTGCAACCGTTTTTCTTCGGTCATTTATGTGTTTTGCCGAAATGACGTGGTAGCAAACACCAAACCTTAAAAATGAAGACTCTTATACTCTTGTAGGGGTTAATTTCCTCTATAGCTGACTCCAATAAACAGTATTCCGTCAACTTAGTATTTGACGCGGGTTGAATCTCCTAGTAGAATTGTGGATTTAATCAACATTATTCAAAAGCCCGAACACCAGGTATAGAGATTGTATATTGTTAGTGAAATCTGCAAAAGTGCAGAAAGCAAGCACATAGGGAAACCAGTATATGTGTTAGAAATCCACGTATATTTATGCGTGTTAGTTGGTTTGGAGATAAATTATTGGTTTTCTTTGTCTACAATAAATGAGAGAATAGATGAAAGATTGATGCGCAGACACATGCTCAATCAGATTCAAACATATTTCTACATAGTGTATTAAATGCCCAAATTACAATAACCACACAAATATTACAATGATTGAATGGGCTTAATACACCCTCACATCGCAAATTATACCACTCTGGCCTGATAATATCGAAATTCGGTTCTGCTACTCTGAAGATGACTTTCAAGATCATAGTTTGACGGACGCATCTGCAAATTCCCCACAGTATTGAAGGGATTACTGCACGAGTTTAATAGGTATTCTGAACTGTACAAAACGTGACCAAAACCATCGTATCTAACCGGCA